GTGAGTTTATTTATAAATTTCCTAATTTGCATCGTTGCTTCAGCAAATCCCATACGAGGGACACTTTAATTCCTCTCTTTCAAAGATGTTAAAGAGTTAAAGAAATCCTTCGTTAGAAAATAGGGACATTTTTCACCCTCCATCTCACTGGTCACACTCGGTAATGTGATCAACAGACTCGAGGTTTTATCTACCCTGAATCATGAAATACAATTAACAACCCCATAGGCGAAAATCACGTTTAAGGACATTATCCTGAGAGTGAAAATAAATTAAAACCGCCTCAGATTAATTAAAGTTTGATAAGCAATATGAATGGAAAAAATGCTGTTAGTTTATTATAATATACTTAAAATCATGTCGGTTGAAACCCCAGATAAAAAGCTGCAACCCTCGAACAAAGCTCATGAGTTGATTATATGATAGATTGTCACTATGTCTTGGAGAGCATTCTAGTGTACAACCCCCGGAGGGTACTCCTAGAAATTTTTGATGGGCTTGTGCCGCCCGGTTCCCCAAATCCTGACCCTATTTCGGACCAAAAATGTCATTTTAGGCCTGGCCTCTAAAATCTATACCCGATTTCAGACCTATACATAAGCATTACTTAGATTAGAACGCCACCAAAAAGATTTTTTTAAAGCCATTTCAAATTCACATATTATCTTTCTTTCAATTTCGTTTGGAATTGAAACGACAAATACGTTCATACACTTCAGTAGTTCCCTCGAATACCATCCCCGCTCCCAGACCAAAAATGGGCAAAGTTTTCAGACCAAAACGGCGCAATAACCATACCCTTTGGGGCGGCACATACCTATAGCGTAAATAAGGGAGTACCCCCCGCCCCGAGGAAAGAACTTGAAGAATAAATAAAAGGACAGTAGCCCTAATTAACAAGTAGTAGTAATTACCCGTGAGGGCTTTAAGATTTGGTAAATAAATAAGATCGGTACACCTCCTTCCGCCCGCCCTCGCGGGCTATAAGTAATAGGATTATACCAGATAAGAGATCAATACCATGTAATTGACCCACCTGCCTACAAAGTCAACAAATTAGTGAATTGTACTGATAAAACTACGGTAAATCGCCCTTTGAGAAAGATGAAATATGAAGAGACTCGCTGTCTGGATGCGTGCTACTAACATTGAGGTGACTAGGCTTGAATCTCAAGTTTGTTTTATTTGGTTACATGGTATTATTTTCAAAGAGATACATTCAAAAAGTGACATTTTCGTTTCTAACTGTGCCTTTTCTTAAAATAGCACTCCATGTTGTCAAATAATAGATCAATTTCTACTATTCATCTGATTGGCCGCTTTCCGGAATTGGTTGCTGCAAACCCCTACTAGATTTTCGAGACACTGGCCTGAATTCTCTACACGAGTTAAATTGTATGCCCGTAAGGTTTGCAGATGTTAAAGTGTAATTGAACCCAAAACGGGCTTTTTTTTTTGTTAATTCCAAGGTTTTTCGTTTCGGAATAACTCCTCCTTCCCCGGGGATTTCCTGACTTAAGTTAAGGCGTAGGGTTGCCACTGAGAGTTTGAATTCTTCACCCTGTTTAGAACAATGGACAATGAAAAAAAAAAAACACACACACACACTCTTCGTTGTTTCTTTACAGAAAATTGACCCTGTTGAGGATAAGCTCACAGAAAACCGCACACCCTGTTCAGAGCAAGGAGGACAAAAACAATCCCCCGTCCATCTAAATAAGGAAGTTTCCTCCGGAATGCAGCCGATCAATTTGATGTATGCAGACCACATTACTTTCCAGAAAAGAGTACCTCGTTTACAGATACAATAGCTTCTTTACTAATTTATTGTTTCCTCTCACTTGCTACGGTTACGAGAGTGTTTGTGTTGCATGCAATATACTACACAGCTTTAAAACAGCAATTAAGAACTCAATCAATTTGAGAAGATTAAAATATTTTTCTACTAGAAGATATAGGATAGTTATAAAATAGTCTAAAGGCTTTTGGCCTCTCAAAACGAGATGTGTTGACTGTGGTTTTGTGCACATCTGAAAACATGCTTTTTGGTATCGCCCTCATAATGTAAACAGCGTTTTCAAATCAAAATAGATTTTGACTTGTTTAGGAACAGACAGCGTGAGTTAGGAAAAAATTTATATCTATGCCGAACTTAGGTTATTTGGCTTTTTCAGCTAAACTAATATCCTGGTTCGCTCGCGTGATTAGAAACTCGAATTGATCTAATCAATCTTGATTTTTATTTCCTTCCATTGCCTTGACACGAATGGCAAATAAAAAAGAAATAAAAATTGAGTTTTTACGTTCGGTTTCAATAAATCAAAGCAAAATCAACGAACCAATGAAAAACGCCCCCAATGTACCAAATTCCGGCTTTTTCGGTAACGCTAACCAAAACACAGGAAGGAGGAGCTAGGAGTCGCCAGAGATACCACTCACTCTTTTTATCCACGATATATTCCTCTACGGTTCGGTTAAAATTATCAGACGCATCCCCCAAAACATCCAGTCTTCAAAAAAAAAAGTTTTTGGTACAAGGGTTACACCCTTGACCTTGCAAAAATTGTTTATATTAACAGGAAACTCCGCGTTGGTCAAGTTTCTTTTGAAGGCGAAGGCATAATTAAAATATCTTCCGCATTTGCATTTCTACTTATTGAATCTGAACATTCACAGCTTGAAGCGCTCGCTCCAAGGACCCCTTGTTGGGACGAATTCAGATTGAACTATCATTTCGCCAAAAACTGGTCGGATCGTTAGACTTGACGACAACTCATCTTAGAAGCTCATCTGCTGGATGTGCGTATTTACTGCACATGTAAATTCGCGCCAGCACAAGATAAAAGATTCATGAGTTGTTGTTGAAGTTTAGCTTGGCTCTGTTTGTAAGGAATGTTCCCCGCGAGAAGCGAGCGCAATGTGTTTATTTGCTTGTCACGCAAAAACGTGGTAAGCGTGCCCCTCTGAACAAAGTAAACTTTGTAATCCTGCTCACAAGCATTGATCGTTTGCAGAAGGGCTAAGTGGATAAACGGGTTTTAGCGCCTTCTCAATGGAATGATCCAAAAAGCGTTTATTGCTATTGTGTTAAGATTGTTTGACAATGGCATTAACAGACGCAGAGGACTAATTGTTTAGACATTTGGCTGGACGATTCAAGAGATTTACTTTAGTGGCAAAATGACCTCTGTTTAAAGAAGACATGACACATGAGGTGCTAATGTTGATTTGCTCCTTCCACTGTCCCTCCCTCCTATCATCAAAACTGCTCGTTTTCACAAGTTGAACAAATATTACTTCCAGGGGGTCGTCGAGCGCATAGTGTTCAAATCGTCTCCATTTTTTTCGAACGCTTGACCCTAATTGTGTCAAACGCGGCGAACATGTCACATTCTTTTGTGTTATTAGCAGAAAAGCGTGGATTTTATTTTTATCTTTGAAAATTGCTCATAGGTTAACCTGCTGTTTATTCGTTTTTGTTTTTCTAGAAGGACCTTCCAAGACTTAAATATGAAGATGTTAACGTAAGCGTAAATAGGCAACACATTTTAGCCTTATAATCGAAATTTCAAATGCTTACTACTTCCACCGGTTTTAGCAAACACTTAAGCTTTGTGTCAGAACTGGAGAGAAAATTTACTACAATTGCTAATAGACGTACTTGGAATGGAGCCAGGTGGTAAAGAATTTCAGCGAATTGTGTGGCAATTTATTTACTTTCATGATATGCGCAAACGCTCCGACACTGTGACAAAGTGTTAAGAGGAACATAAGTGTGATATCGTATTAATTAAGTACACTCGACTCTGTCACCAACAAAACTTAACTCCTCTATAAATAGTGTCAACACTACTTAGGCGCTCGCCGCTAGGGTCGGCCTTAACAAAGGCACCGAATACAATGGTATCGCGAGTACGCAAATCAGCCGAATCGAGCAAACGATGGATCCTGTTGAAATGTGTTTGTCGTAAAACTGTCAACAAGGGCCAAGTAACCCATGGCATTTTTAAAAAACCCCGTAATACCTGTAACGCACGCTCACAAACCCGTGGAAACTATAATTATCAAAAGTCGCGCGAAACGCGCAAACAAACTTAACCTAGTGCCTTTTATCAATTTAACTCAAGTATGTGGTTAACCCGGTGATATGGAAAATCGATGCATCGTCCGCGCGCGATGGAGATAGTATCAAGCTGAAGGAGGGGTCTTGAAATTGAAATATGTACCAAGAAGTTGGTGGTTCTTGCAAGCACTCCACTCAAGAAGAGTGTTTACTACATGATCATTCAATTAAGATTAGACGATTACACATTTCTCACGACTCTCGACTTGATTGACACCTTCAGACATTCGCGTGCTTCGCTGCGCGTGACCCGAATTGAGAACAAATAAACGGAATTGGCATACCTTGAAATTCTGTTTCCTTTCGAAAGAGATGCATATAACGCTACCATTTATTTTATTAATAATGGCTTAGCTTACCGTAACATCCAATGAGGCTTGGGATCGTTGAATACTCTGTAGGGGGGAATTTGGTTCGTTTAACCGTCAAAATAGGCAATTAAAATTCTTTAGTTCGAGGTGGCATGTGCTTCCCTCCCCTTAATCAAACCGTCCTTATACGAATGGTAAATATTTGAAAATTATATGTCGGCACCTTGGGACAAATATTGACAATGCAAATTAATCCTATTTTAGTGAAGAAATAAGCAAGCAAGATTTCAAGAGTTTATGCAGTGTGCCACTTTTTTTTAGAATTATTACTTGAGTTTGAAATTTTTTTCCCTCCATTTGTTTTGCTCAGATTGCAAATGAGATAGTTCCAATACGTCGACTGCTATTGAAACACTAACAATTGATAGGATTCGATAGGACGAACAAATCGTAAAATATTTATCAACCCAAACACCCTGGGGGCGTTGACGCGATGATTGGATCATGAAATATCAACAACTTGCTAATGCCAATCAAAGACCTGGTGTAGTTCAGTTACAATAGACCGAGAACTCACGCTGGGTACAGAACACAGCCAAGTACAGATGCTTGGATGAACGAAGAGTCGACTTCAAAGGATAGCATTACGATAGACCGGTTAAGACCCGCGCAGGTTCAACAATTTGACCGCGCTACACTGTGTGAGAGGCTACAAGGAATGTTCGTGCACTACCAAGTCGAGGAGTTCGATTCGCTCAGCACGACATAGATGCTTATTTAGTTCCATGGGAGGATGACAAAACTGTGAATTAAACAAAGAGCCAACCCGATTGATTCATTGAAGTTTTCTGTCCGGTTTCTCACGCGATTGTATAGTGGAAAAAGCAACTCGCCTAAGACACAAGAGACAAAAGGATGAGCATAGTACACGATAATTTCAGCGTTCCAAATGGCTCGCTCAATCCTTTTTCACCACCTCAAAATGTGCGGTCCTCAGCTCGTCCATCGGCCCACGAGTTCCTTTTCGGCGCCGGGTCCGACACCTTCCCAACATCTAGCGTCGCAGCTGTTCGCCCTCCTAACAGCAGTATAAATCTGGCGTCTGACACAACTGGCGCTAGAGCAGGAAGCAATCAGCGACAGCACAACATGTTCGCAGGATCTGTAATTCACCAGCTTCACCCAAGCCACTACAACAGCCTGCAAGAGCCGCATCGCGAAGGTACCAGTGGTTCGCCACATGGATTTTATTCCGTCGCTCATGCTCACGATCCACCCGGTTCTCACTATCAACAAACTGGCGGGCCGCTAGCCGGCCCGTACAGGTTTTCCAAAGGCCTTGATTACTATTCGCGAGAAGACAAATTTGACGCCGCTCACCACTCGCAGTTTGCGAACCCTTTCGCTGCCCCGCGCTATGAGTTCATGCAGCACCCAGGACTTGCCATGCCTGCAAGTTATCTGCGACAGCCCTTGAGTCATGTGGTGGTTTGTGAATGGATCGAACCGGGCAGCAAAGGAAAGCCTTGTGGGAGACAATTCTTTCGAATGCACGACGTTGTTGCTCATCTCTCTGAAGATCATGTTGGAGGACCGGAAAGCAGCTCACATGTGTGCTTTTGGAAGGACTGCTCTCGTAATGGACTTCCCTTTAAGGCCAAGTATAAGCTTATTAACCACATTCGTGTGCACACGGGGGAAAAGCCCTTTTCGTGTCCTTTCCCTGGCTGCGGGAAGCTGTTTGCCAGGTCAGAAAATCTAAAGATTCACAAGCGAACGCACACCGGCGAGAAACCATTTATGTGCGAATATCCGGGTTGCGACCGACGCTTTGCAAACTCGAGCGACAGAAAGAAGCACTCACACGTCCACACGTCTGATAAACCATACATCTGCAAAATCGAAGGATGCAACAAGAGTTATACTCACCCAAGCTCTTTACGAAAACACATGAAGCTACACCAAAAGCCTTCAGAATCCCTGGGTGTGCCTAGTCCTCAAGATAACGAAAGCATATCCTCCGCTCGGACAACTTCGCCCGCTTTTCATACCGCCTCAACGTACCCACCAATGTCGGATTGGTTTAATCGCTTGCCGCCGTCTCAGAATCACGACCACTTTCACATGGACACAAACGGGAGCATGGCCGCCGGTCAAGCTCCTTTGACGTCCTACTGACATCCTACCGAGAAAATAAAGACTTCACTCGTTTATCATGGAGGCCAGACAGAACTATTTAAATAGCCGTTTGAATCAACAAGCGGGAACGTTTTTCATCAGTAAAGCTCTGCCTGTCTACTCAAGAAAACATGGGCTCGGTTGTTCCTGCCAAATTTCAAAGGACCTCAAATTTACTTCAGTGTCCATAACACACTAAAGCTTAAAGAACTCTAATTTGTATTCTCGCAATCAGAGCTTATCAAAAGTGATTTTAATGAACGCTTTTGGAACAGTTGCTATACGATGAAATGGCGCACCAAAAGACGAACGAATACGGGCAGAAAGCTGGACTCTTAGGTCTCAGTCAGGCTTAAAAGCTCGAAATATCCTTAACAACCGGACAGAAAGGTACAGTGCCTTACAAAACAAGTAAAAAATTCGCTTTAATATTGCCAGAAGAAATAAAACTATGAAGAACAAGAATTTGTCATATATCTGACCGAAGGCAACGATTTTCGGCTCAGTTGGCCATTAAAATTTATCCAAGTTTTAGCTTACAATATTTTCTTATTTATGTGAGAATATTTCCCGTTTCCGAACAGCACTGTAAATAGCATATTTGGGATATGACTCCACCTGGGATATTAAACAGACACCCTTCATAGGGAAAGAAATCTTACAAAAAGTGTCAGTTTCATTCAATGCGTTTATTCCATATCTCTTTAGTCTAAAAGTTTATGGTCCATTTAAACGGCTTTATTACTGTAAAGTGCTATTCTGACTACAGTTACATTAAAGAAGTACCCTTAAAGTTCTGACAAGAAGAACTGAATAAACCAACTCCCTTTCCTCTTGCATTTCATGGTTTTGTTTTCAAAGACAAGAAAAATTTCAGTTTCTTGTAAAGAAGAAACTCTTTTAATTCTTACTTTTGTATGCTGTCGTGTTTTCTAGAAGGCTGTCATCGGCGAGTGATTTCAAAACAATTGAACCACGTCGACGCAAAAAAATATAGTTCCTACGCAACAAAAATTACGTCTTAGAATTTAGAAAATGCCGAACTACAGCTATAGACATCGATCAGTTCGTTTTTTATTTGTCTTTGTAACTAAGTTCTTTGGAAGAGCATGATTAGCCAAAGAAAGCTGTTGTTTGATGCTCTAGTAACTAAAGGCCTGCGGCGAAGCAGTACACCCATACTGAATTCACTTTTTCACTGTCAAGATTCCCTTGTCTTGGAATAAAATTGCCATCCTTGGTTGAAAAATGTTGCAAAACTACCGTGATATTTCAGAGCCATGAGTGAGGAAGCAATCTCCCCTATGTCAATCGGCATATATAATTAATTAATCTTTGTCACTCTAAAGATCCCAAGTGCTCTCATCCTGTTCAAAATTGAGATCGAAATGGCCGTGATTAGGCTATTTGTTTAGTTCTTGAAGACATCAAAATAAAACCAACAAGGCAGCTCCGTTCTTTTTAAACCAATTAGTCGTGTGGTCGTATCAAACGGCTTCTGGCTGGGATGTTTGTATCCGTTCAAAAGCCGGCATCTACAAAGGCTTTTCTTCATTATACTGTTTTTAATCTACATGATTTTGCCCAAAGGCTGTTTCGAGCTGTTGCGAAGGGACCGTAATAAATTCGAACATTTGTCCAGCTTGGGTAAAGGACTCAGCTTTAAAGCGAATTAAGGCTAGAATTTTTTTACTAGATTACAAGATATCTTTCTAAAAACAAAATAATTCGGTTTTACACTTGTTTTTCAAAGGAGAAAAAACCCAGACAAACAATGGGTTCTTGAAGGAGGTCTTAAAATAGTACTGTCTTCTTATTAAACGGTCACACCGCTTCGGGCACTTACAATCTCCACTGAACCGTAACCCCGGTTTGGTGATCGTGGATTTCGGAGCCGGAAAGCTCAAAGCTTTAGAAAAACATCGCATTTGAAGATTTTATTCAATAAAGTAAGAGAACCAGTTAAACGAACTCTCTATTTTTGCTCCATACATACTACTTATTTAGAAGAGTCAGGCTTAACCCGATTACTCCCGAGCAGTGTGGAGTGGTTCGTAACTTTTGATGATTTGTAGATTGTCCTAATGTGCAGTACATTACAGGGTAGCAGTTTTGATGGCATATTTCAAGCATGGCCACCGGCTTGGGAATGGAACCGAAGAGGAACATATTATGGCGTGATGTGGTTCATCGCTGTAGGCTTCTCAATTGCCGCACAAAACGTCACGCTGGGTTTTGTACTTTGTAAGCTTAAATCCAATGGTTAGCATCAAACTGTTGTAAACTTTGTACAACTTACTAGATAGTTTCTGCAACCGCGTAATCACAGAATTGAACTTCACTCAGTATTAAATCTTGACTTGGTGCGTGCTTGTGTCAAGGCAACCGAGCAGCTCAATGTCAAGTTAGCTGGTTTTAAAGAAAAGATTACTCAAGTCACTCAGGCGATAGAAAACAAAATGACTACTGGTTGGTTTCTTTAGAAAAATGGAATTGATCTTTGAGGACCACTGGATCTCAAGGTAAACTCTCCTTCCGCTTCTACAGATTAGCAGACAAGCTTTAGTTCCGAAGGTCACTGAGTCGGTACATTGAGAGATATCTTGAAACACAGAGTACATTGACAAATCGTGATAAAAATATAACACTGCGCTGAAACTAGTGTTGAAAATGTTACTTTAAGTGTTAAATTGTATGAAGTTCAGTTTCAGCAAGTTGTAAACACATCATCAGCGTTTGGTTTTCAAAGTGTCTCACAGTTTTTAAAGTGTCTCACAGGCCTTGAAGGTAGTCTAAAATGATACTGAACCTTCATTTACAAGCATCATCTGGATCCAATATGCGATGAATTGTAAACCCCCAGAATTGAATGTCAAAAAACCCCTTTGAACACCGGAAAAACTCCCTTGGAGTCGTATTAAATGTTATAAACTCAAAGCAGAACCTGAATCAGCTGGAATGAATATGGGCTTTGATGAAGGATTGAGAATATATTGTTGTTATTACCAAGTGGTGTTGTCTGATATGCAGAATAATTCCTTCTGTGAAGGTATGTTCAGTAAAGAGAAGAGGTTTAAGATTAGTTAGAGGACGTGGGATGTCATAAGGCGAAAAAGAAAGGAGGAAATGTGAGAACTTATCTAGAGTTTTGTATGATAAGAAGCAACACGTGCTCGATGCCTCTCATATGGAGTATAGGGACTCACCCACTCGAACGTCGTCAAACTGGTGTGACTTTGTGTGAGCAGAGCGTTGCAATTCAAGATAGAAATATAGAGAAAGAAATATACAATCTTTGATCATTTGGGTAGTATAATTATAGGTTCCAATTCTCTTAGCGTTCTGTAATAAACAAAAGCTCTGCCAAAAAACCCAAGTTTTATATTATGATTGATAACAGTAATATTGATTACCCGTTGCAAATCGCTGTCTTGACTTTGTTGATTTTGAAGAATATACACTCAAGAAACTACTTTATCCTTTACAAGAAAGCCGCTTCTTATGTCCTTTATAACACACAATATATGAACGCTTTGAAGTTAAACACTATGTCCTTGATGTTTGATATTTAGACGTAAAACGTTTTTCCAAGCGACTGGGACACGTGTTGTTTTATTTGTTACACGCACCATTTCTTTACCCAAACAAAGAGAACTTCTTTGTTTAAGCGAATTAAGGCTAGAATTTGATAGTAAAGAAATCATGAAATTGACCCGCGAGGAAAAAGAAAGTGGAAGAAATTTCGTAGCCAAAACATCGTCGACTTGCAGACATGCATAACTTTACCATGAAGCAAATTAGACACAGATATTTTCTTGCCCTCGAGCAGGTCAAAAATTGTGGTTTGGATCATTACCAGTTATTTTAAGAAAGTACCGCTGTACTTCCCTAGTGAAAGACCACCGGAACTGCTAATGTATATTTCGAACCCTAGAAGAAGTCTTGTGCTAAATGTGCTATGATGGTGACGCCACTCTACTTGGGTTTCGCAAAATGCTTTGTATACTGAGAGTACAAAAGCGATTAATTTTTTTTATTATTGAGAAGTGCTTGGGTAAAATGCAGAGTTTAGTTACATGTAGTGTAATTAACAGTATTACAAGCAATTTTTTTATTCTTTTTTCTCGAAAGAAACACTACCGCACAATATAGACGTTATTTCTTCACGCTACACAAGGTTTTCAGTCCAATCACCACATTAAGACATTGCCACGAGTTCTTGATATCACATATATTTTTACCCAACTGATGTCACCTGTTATTGGATGACGAAATTGCAACAAATGAAGTAGAAGCTTTGGGTGGATTGCTTCTATAAATTTAACCCAAATATGCCAGTATATGGAAATGGATTTTTTTAAGAAAAATTTCCGTCCTGTCTTAAGCTACGAAAGTGATTAAAACCTTCTAACATAAATTTAATTTCATAAATTCATATATCAATTCTGAAAGGTCCAGGATGGAAACTGGAACCGTGTGCAAGAGAAATGTCTCGACTTCTCGTTCTGTCCGGACAGGAAGATTAATTTTTTTATTTTATTTTGCATGTTTATAATCAAACGCAGATACAAACAGATATAACCTTTTTGGCAGGTTGTAGCTTGTCTTGGTTAAGACTCTGCTTTTTTTATTTCAATTTTTTTTTTTAAAGAAACTGGCGCCCTGTAGAGATCTCAACTGGTCGCCCAACCATAATGTAAATCTTTTGTCCAGCGATCACGGAAGGTTTGAAATTTTTTTCAATCTTCCTCTAAAGTCACGGAACGACCCCAAACCTCTACTTGAAACCAACAGACGTAAAAGCATTTCCTAAAAAATGAAACGTCGGAAAGACGTTCTCACTTCCAAATTCACCTCTCCCTACGCATTTGCATGATAAACATGGCGACAAAAGCAGCTACAGTTATCGCCAGCAATAATTTCATCTTGAAATCACTAATAGATTAAATCTAAGAAGATATTACACCTAAATGTCTTCAAAATTTTGCTTTGTGCTTTGCGAATGTGTGCTACCTACAGCAAATTAGTAATATGTTTCGTTTCGACAAGGCTATTAATGATAAATTGCTTCCGGTTGGAATTGCAACATAGAAAGGTTTTGCTTTCGTGAATGTTAGTGATACTTTTTCTCGAAAATTATATGCCCTGTGAATTCTACATGAAACTACTCTAAATAAGAGTAGTATTTGATTCAAAGAATAAACGTCCATTGGGTCAGAGGCACCACCCCTGGGCAAAAGACACATCGTAAACTGATAGAAATTCAAACAGTGATAAAGACTTCTTTCAACCGTCAGTATTTCTCTGGTCTAAGGATAAATGTTAGCTGACAATTCCTTTTTACAAAAAATCTTTGAAAAGCATTGTTAGATATCTTGTGGTACCAAATAAATCAAAATTGTACTGGATTTGTTCCTTTAAAGGACAACATGGCATAGGGCAATCACTTACGGATGGCATTACCCATACAAAGGTTGAAAACATCAACAGTATCGATGTATATAGGGAGTAATTAAATGTATTTTCAAAACCTGGGCATACTTGTATACGACAATAAACGTTAAAGATCTTTACATAAGAAAGGCAGTCAAAGTAAGTTGTACCACATAGCCACTTTTAAACTTCCAACTCCAAAACGGAATGTTGCTTCCACAGAAATGTTCACCTGTTTGAAAAATAAAGCCTCTATTCCTGCCGTGTAAGGAAAAATCAATACACATACTGGAAAACACGTAGTAATATTTGACGCCATGACCGATGATTTTGGAACAATGTTCTCTAAAGGTATCAAGTTTCACCACCATGGCCGTCCTTTCTGTAAATGAAAGTGCAACTAAAGCGTTTTATGCAACAGCTTCTTCAAGTGGCTTTTTCACTCCTCGAAGACCAGGTACATAACTGAGCGCCCACGCATTTAAGAACCCGTGCAAATTAAGGTGCAACAACAAATTTGGTTTCAGAGAACTACAAGCTTGAGTATTTAAAATCCTGTATTAGTGGTTTAAACAAAATTCTTCTATCTAGTAAAAGAAGTTTTGCTTTGCATGGCCACAAATTTGTCAAACAATACATGTAGCATTCTTAAGGTTGAAATACATTCTCGCATTTCAGTACAGTATAACAACATTTTTTTTCTTTTGAATAAAGTCGGATATTCTTCAATCATGACAAAAAAGCATAGTTTTATGAAAGACAATGAAATATGACAATAATCACCACAAAGTAAAATGTCGAGCTCAATGGGAAAGCAATACAGTGGTGAGACACAGTGCTGGTGTATGAATTCCACATTGGAATACCATTTTATTAAAGGCTGAAAAAATGGTATGCACTTTGAGAAACATATCTATCGAGCGAAAAGTACTTTATTTGGTTGAGAGAAAACAGGGAACTCTCCATTTTCGGTTGTTCTTTAAAATATTCTTTCGTTTTATCAGAAACTGGAATATAGATTCGAAGTTTTCACTTGTGATTCTGTCAATATACAAATGACCCATTTGCATGGAAGTCTATGTTAGTCAAGACAGTTTATTTGTCATGCTTTTCAGTTTGTGCGATGTGCTCGTAGTAATTAGAGTTAGTAAATCCGAGACCCTTGTTCGTGATAAACAGTTCTCAGGTTATGGCTCGTAAGCAAAAAGCCTTTTTCATATCCCTCTCAATGAGAAATAGTTATCAACGAAAGTAGACAGAGAGCTGTTACAGTAGTCGTAAGACAAATATGCTCTCATACTATAGTAAGCGTTCAAGGAAACAGTATCCTAAGAGAGTGAGTTGAAAAACTGAAAGACATTTTGAGAAAGGAAGGATGTCTACAGAATTGTGCTTCGCTTGACAAACAAGCAGTTGTTCTGATAGCCTCTAACGTAACGGGACAAAAGACCATGAAATAGCTGATCAAATATTATTTTAACGTGGGCCTTTAAAGGTCATTTCCTCCGCCCTGAGTTTATGCCCTTTTGTGAAAGTTGGGCATGGGGCCCTTTATTAACCCTTTCACTGCCAAACGTGGCTAAAGGCAAATTCCTACCAAATTTCCAAATTTCATTTTCTAATATTTTGAGAAACAAATAGCATCGTGTGAAAGTACAGGCGGAGAGCTTTCATTTGAATGGTCACATCATAGGATTTCGTCCACACACAAAAGTGAGAGTCACCTTACAAAACTCCATCAAACACTCTGGCAGTGAAACGGTTAAGAGAATACAAAATTTATCAATGTTTGAGGAAAACAAGATGGACAAAGCACTTCCTTTGGGCGGAATGTTGTTTCCTTCTTATGTCTTATGTGACTCTGACTTGATAAGAATTGAAGGTGACATTGATTACAAAATTCCTTGAATTACCCTCAAATAACAATAAATACAAGCATTAAAAGTAAATATCATGTTTTCAAAACACTGAAAGTACAAGGCATATCTGACCAAACAAACTTAAACAACAAACTAATCCAGAACAGTTTTCGTCTACTCAAGTTGCAGTTCGAAATCCTCAATTAAAAGAGCAAACCTTGAAAGGTTCACCCGCATTGTACGTAGTTACAACTATTTCATTAAGAAGAAGACTAGCTATTATGTGTCACCTCTTTCTTACTTTACAGAGCGTGCATCTGAAGTATGCGGTCAAATAAGAGTTTATTCTCGACGCAATAGAGGGAAAATCAGTGTTCGATTACCAGTAAAAGAACAAAAATTGACACAAAATACCCCACGGCTTTTCTTTCAATACTCTGTTCTGCTTTGTTCAGGTTTTACCACAAAACAAACGGATACCTGTGAAACCATCGTTATTATTTATTAACTAGTGCAAGTCTGTCTTTTTATCATTTTCTCTTCTAAATCTGTTTGAGTTTCTTTATCAGTAATGACCCGTTCTTGAAATTGTCGCTGTCTACATATCTTTTATCGTATCCAAAAACATTCTTTGAAACCCTCATCAGTTTATTTACTGTCAAGATTTTCGAAACACCTTCAACAGTGCTTCTCCAGACAAAGAGAAAAAAGGAACGTCTGAATTCGGCAATAATAGACCATGTTATCTCTAACGAGACTGTATTTGGTTTGGAGGATAAAACCATCCCTAATACCTTAAGTTTAAAAGCCACCTTCAAATTTTACAAACATGACACCTGTTAATGAATGGTTTAGACACGAAATAAATTTCTTTCAGCGATTTACAAAACAGGAAAGAATCTATGACGCACTTAAGTCAAAAGACTGTTTCAAAAAGGGGATTCATTTAATATCGTGGAAAATGTGTGCATGACCTGTTTAAATGAAATTTATTGAGGCAAGAGGATGTTTATTATTCCATTTTATTATATTTTATTCGCGGTTTATCTATTCTCAAATCCGGACTAATTTTCAATCATAGAAATAATTTGTTTTAGTAAAAACAACAGATACTTGAATTGCAATCGTATCAAAACTTTTTCTGCCTTTTCAAATTTCACATATATAGTTGCTTTCAAACTAGGGCCATGTACATGTAGTATGCGATCAAAAACTGAAGTTCAGTCCTTGCACGAAACCGGTTCCCTAATTACTTCTCAGAAAAGTAATTTTCTCAAAGGAAAATAAACGAGAGAGGAAAAAAACAAGAAAAAAATGAAGATACTTTTAGACTATCTGAGCGGAACATATTTATGAAAAAGTCTACAATGAGGAATTCAACAGTGGCACTCAAACACTGCTTGCTGCGAAACATTTCTTTGACGCACATACCCGTATGTTCTGCAAATTTCGACGGTTTACAAGAACAAAACGCCCAGATATCTGCTTCATTTCCTAGTTAATAGCAAAATTCCGAAAATCTTATTTCATAAAATGTTCGCAATTCTGTTATTAACATCCCCTGATTTCTAGAGAATGGAATTTTAACATTTCCCAGGATTGTTTATTATCCGTAAGAAAGGACACTAACACTTTCTGTCTTGAAAAAAGTGGCGGAAAGATTTATCAGAAAATTTCATGTTTTGGAAATACAGCAGCATCTAGAATGGAAAAATCATAGGACAACCTCAATATTTTTCGGAAAGGAATGAGAAACTGAGCATAATAAAACAGATAACCTTCTTCTGCCGCTTAAAATTTATTTTCAGAGAGTTAAAGGCACTGCAGTTAACCTTAATAGGTTTTTAAAGCATTTGGGGGAAAATCACCGATGGGTGCTCATGAATGTCAATCAAAGAGAAGCCATTCTCTTCTAAACACAACCGAGGCACGGTTGCCACCATAAAAACTTTGAATTCTCCTACCATTTGCCTTACGAAAATACATAGATAAGAAGGCTATGCGTTAACAAAATTTCTCAGGCCTAAGAGAATTTTCCCAAGCCAGGGTTAAGAATTAAAGCTTTCTTTAATTTAAGATCCTTTTAAAATGACAGTAACAAGAGAAAATATTTCAACGTGACCTTCTTTACAAGAGCGGCTTAAGAAATTGTCCCATCTCTAACAAAGCCAACGTAGAGAAAATGTTTGCTTTTATTTGAATACACTTCAAGATTCAATTTTCAAGTGAATAAATGTATTTCTTCCTTTCGTTTTGAATGAATCATATCACAAAATATTCTCTCTAAAATCCTTTGGTAAAGTGCTCGAGCCTATACGCCGTCTCGGATTGTCCGGATTAGAAAACCTTTGGATAGAAAATTGAAAATTGCCTTAACTTCATTAAAAAGAGAAGTTCTTGAAAAAAGAAAAAAAAAAAAGGACTAAATATAATCTTCATCATGCTTTCTACCGCCACACCCGCTTCTAAGTAAGGTGCTTACAAAGGAGAACAGAAGATAGCAGGTATGGCAATTCAGCTTAGCCTTCGTTTAAACACAGTTTTCGCAAAAATTATTCTTCAAAACTCAGCGTTATACTCAGGAAATAAGCCTGGAAGTGATCGCTCATAGATGTATAAATAAGGCGGAGAAAAACAAGTATCTTACACAATAAAACTAGCACCTAACAATTATCACCACTAAACAAAGATTATAAATTTCCTACAAGTAACTTTAACATTTGGTATTAACTTTCACTATGTATATTTAGTGGCTGTGTTTTCCCTGAGGAAATGTATACGATCAACATAAGGAACAAAGCCTCGGCCTTACAAATTTAAATTATTTCAATGCGGCCTGTACTCAACGTAAAATAAAAACTGTCCTGCGGAGAGAGGTTTTCTTAGAGAAAGGATTTCGACCACGTGCTTTGATGATTCAAACAATTTTGCTACTAAAAAAAGATTTTTGAAAATTACGTTGAGTATTATTCAGTGAATTTTAAAAGAATAACCGAAAAGAAAAGAGGGACTGAAGATTTAATGCAAAACGTAGCACCACCCCATTTACTTTCTCATCAAAACTGATTCACTGAACACCTGCTTAAATCCATGTCTTTCAAAAATATGACTTGTTAATAATTCTTCTTTCTTCCTGAAATTTCAATAAAACTTGATGAAAAGATCGATATGTATTTTGTTTCTGGAGTGATTTATCACTTTTCCTATTCAGTTTGATGATATGCGTTTTTTTTTCTTTTGCAAATTTTCAGTACATCAATAGACGCGTCCTATAATTGCTTGGGTAAAGAGCCATGTCTTTTTCTCACGAATTTTTCAGATACGCCACATTGTTCATGAAAACTAGAAAATGTGCGTCTCAAAACGTGAGCAAGACTTCATGCGATGCTGGCTATCACGGTTTAAATAAGTTTTCATCACGTCACGCTTACCTTAGCTAAACTTGTCTGGTTAACACATTGAATAGCAACGCGAGCAAATCTCATCCCATACGCTCGAACAAGGCTAACCGGTGTTAAACTTAACCCCGCCACACTGAAAAGCTCTCTGCTCGAAAGCTACCGGCAACTAGTGAAGCGTCTAACAGTTCAAGCCTTTATTTTTCGATGTTTCTGTGGGAGGGAAGGCATCCTGCTCTTGTTCAACACATGTTGAATTTTGCCTCATATGGCGACCGAGCAGACAAGGTCGCTGAAGCTCGGCGGTACCTGTTATCAGAACCCTTAGTGTGGGAAGAAAAACACGACTTAGAATCTTAAATATTTTACTGGCCTAAATTTCCTGTCGTTTTATTTCAGTGATAGGGAAATTGAACGTTCCTCTATTGGACCAATACCATTCTTCTTCTTTGAGGTTAATCCGGCGGCGCGTTTGCTCGCTGCAAGACTTTTCCTTTGAAAAGAAAGGGGTTCAAGATATTGAGACTTTTTATTCAACGTGAAGACCAATGGTGTTTTATTTCCTTTAGATTTCGGTAAGCATCGACATTGTTTTAGACCTTTCTTTGATTTCACCGTAGTCACGAGGATATACATGCACGGCCAAATTCCCAATGAAAATCCTTTAAAAATTTAAAAGAGCGAAGTGAGTCACAGTTCTTGACCAGGAGAACATTTATTGCACCATCCTTCCAACATTATATTTTGATTTGAGTAAACACAGTGAAGTAACACCGTTACCAAAAAAAAAAAAATAATTAAACCCAAAACAGACGATGTGTAAATGATTGTTAGTACTAAAATTATGTTTTCATGAAACTTTAAACAACATGGGATGAAGTTTGTTCAATCAACGCTTTGCTCCGGAGCTGTGGTAACCTTTAACACTAGACCTTCTCGAACCTTCGTAGAGATTAATCCTTGGCTACCATATTCAATCGTGAATGCAAGTGTCAACATTTTTGTCTGTGGATTAAAGCTCTCCAGAAATACTTTTCTACGATATGTATTTGTTTTCTTAGTTTACTTTGAAAAGGAATAACTATTTTATTTTCTTGAAGTTTTATTTTCCCCACTGCATGGAGTTTAAGGGTCAAAAATAAACACCAAGGCCAAGAATGAAATTTAGAGATTAAGAAAAATTATATCTGAAATGGGCCCATCTCACTTGAGCCGGCACTTTATTGAAATTTTAACAAATCACAAGAATGGTTTTCATGACCCTCTAACTTTACATAATAATTCTCATCTTCATCTACTAGGTTGCCCATCACGCCTCTGTATTTTTAGCAGCGAACATAAGCAAATTATTAGAAAGATAAGACACTTTCTTACTGCTGTGATAGAGCAGGCTCTACCAAGTAACAAAACCTTCAAGAAGTAAAAAAAAGCATAAGTTAGGAATAGACCCCTCCATGGTTTTTTCAACATTTGACATGGACCAGCTAGGAGAAATCCGTCGACACCACTGGAAAGAGCGCCTTAATATTAGTAAAATTGCCAAATTTGAGAGCGATTCGTTTTAGGCGAACGAATATATATTTCCGCAAAGTTGCGAAAATTTACAGACGTTGGTATGGTGAGGGACAAGTTTGTGCACCCCACCATATAAACGTCGGTAAATTTTCGCTCCTCTGAGGAACTATATATTCGTTAGGTTTTGACAAATCACTTTCAAACTTGGCAAATATGCTAATTTTAAGGCGCTCTTTTCGGTGGTATCGACGGATTTTTCCTAACTGGTCCATATGAAAAGTTGGAAAAAAAAAAAACGTGGAAGAGTCTATTAATTAAACACCAACTTCATCGAACATATTTGCGGTAGATCGACTATTTAAGAGCGGTAAATTGGTAATATATTAAGTGGTTTTCATTTGTTCTCCATGCCAGAATTCATCCATGCTTTGTTAATGTCTGTGTGTTTTCTTCTTATTTTTAGGTTTAAAGTTAGCTGGGCGGTCTTATAGCTTTGACCAGAACAATGGGCACCCTAGGCTTAAAACGGAAGAGGTCAATCTCTAAACCTCCACGAAGCTTTTAATAAATGATAACGATTATAATATGGAAAACAGCACAGCTGGAACAATGCACAGTTTTAGAGGATAGACTTACTTGTGCAGGCCGTTCCTAAAATCCATCTCTTACTTGTTGACAAACAGAAAATGAAGAATTTATGAATAAAGAACATAAAACAACTATTGCGATGCTTGCAGTATTGACGTTCTATGATTGCTTGGAATAAATACGGCCGCTACAAATCTTCGAGACTTAGAGGGGCTGTGTCACAGCTGCCTAGTTCATATTGATTTGCTTATCAAGCCAGTCACACATCCATCGAACTTCACGTTAGTGACGAAATTGCGTGCAAATAACTAAAGCACACCTTTGTGTCAAACAAACATATCTCCCAATTAAGCAATATATCAAACGTTAAAAACAACTTTAAGAAACTGTTAGGCTAAAAAAGTATTTAAAAAGTACAATTGCAATCAGTTTTAATCTTCTTTTTTACTAGTACTTTATCCATCCCTGTCTTCTTTTGTATTTGCTGTGTTATGTATACCGGCTTTGAGCGGTTATGCTTCACTCAATTTAATATGGTGCAGGTTCCACTGTTTGAGCTGCACTGTTTGTTTGACATAGCTCCTTTAACATTCTTTGTCACGAATGCGTATTTATATTTTCTCCAAGAGATATCCGGTGTACGAAAGAGGACGTAGCGCAAATAAACGACTGATGATAGTCATTTACTAACAGTGAAACAATTGTAAAGGAAGTCATTAATTTAATACTCAGCCCCGTACAAACGTCCCTGCTCAACATTGCGCTATTCTGTACTGTAGAAATTCATACTATCTACAAACGGTTCAGGGGCACCCAACGAGAATATAGTTCAAAACCACATAAACATAGCATTGTTGAACGTACTTTAGTATTTAAACGGTAGATAAAGGGTTATTTTTATCCCCTAAAAATTTTTCTTCTGTTCGGATTTCCTAGCTGAAAGTATAGTGAGCCGAAAATTATAGGGATCAAAATTTACCTTTTCGAAAATTTCAGCCAGAAAAAAGGCTCCCGAAAATCCTAGGTGACCTTTTTAGGGTAAAAATCCGTTAAAAATGCGCAATTATACGATTTTTTTGAAGTTCGAAAATCCTAGGAGAGGCAGGCAAGCAAGAAACTTTTCAGAAAATTCTAGACCTCAAATCGTCTTCCGAACAGATAATTTTTCGAAAGTTGTCGTTGGGTGCTCCTGACGGTTTTTTGGGTTCATTAAAAATGGCAAAAGAAAACAAAGTCGCTACGACTAACATGACACGTTAATAAGTCGGTTGATATTTAAGCGACATCTAACGAAACGAGTAAAAGGCCTGTCTACAATGAACAGCATATGCATCACCCTTTTTCAATGGTCAGCGGAATTCACTGAAATAAGTCGCGACGGAGCTATCTTGATTTGTACATTTGGCATGAGCACACTGATGGTTCAAATACAACAACACTCTCTGGCCACTGAGATGTAGTTACCAAGTTTTATAACATGGGACCCATAAACATTCGCTACCCTCAAGTTAGCCTTTTTAATAAAATGGCAAAACACATGACCATCTAAATTTTAATGCTGCTAAGCATTAAAATGCGAAAGGCGGAAAATTCTTTGAAGAACCCAATGATAGATTATCGCTTCTAAGTGATGAAACATCACTAAACAGTATAACAAAGGCATGGGTAGCCACACCACCTCCCGCAAGCGCAGTTCATTTTCGAACTGAGTGGCACGCTATTTTTTTAAAAAACAGTACAACGAAAACATACCCGCTCCTTTATGCATCAGCAAAGCACAAATGCCAGAACTGAAGCGCACTGTCAAATAGTTGACAAAGTTATGCGGAGGGGGAGAGTGATTAGGGATGCAAAGAACTAAAGCATCACACAACAGTGCATGGAGGGAACACCGTGTGCACAACGTGAATATGTTCTTGAATATCGCCATATAATACAGGTAAGGAATTTAAACAACACAAAACAGACTATGCAGCCATAGAGATTCCGTAAGGTTAAAGTTCGATCCCCAAGCTTTAGAGAAAAGGAGTGCGACAGCCGCTATCTCTGCAAGGAAGAGACAAATAAAGTAAAAAACAATAAGAAGCGATAAAGCCTAACTCAGCATACACTGTGTACATCAGTTAATAACGTACGGAGTGCGTTAACGCAACAGAACATCCAAACACAGGAATGCGCAGAGCCCAAAATACCGTCGCGCACAAAATAATACATGGAGGGAGATGGTAAGGGATTAGCAACATCACGAAAAAGCACTCCCCAGCTACTAAGGGTGTCCACACAATACTGGTATATTTTTGAACATGATGGTGAAGGAAAAGAATTATTCGAGTTTTTGTTTTAAAACTTTCCCAAAACCATACGATCCCCACACGCGCTCGACAGCGGGCCAGGTACCACATTTTAACACCAGGCGGGCAACAAATTTCCAACAATCGAGCTAGGAATATCACCAAATGATTGAAAACCATAGGTATTTTTGTTGTGCATAAAGAAAAACTAGAATAGAGTAACCCATTGAGCGCAATGTGGACAACCCTACCAACTACACAAAAGTAAAACACTGTACTTAGTGCTTTAATTAGAAACGTGGCTACCAGGTCAGACCGCTGGACTTGTAATCCGGAGGCCCAAATTCAACTCCCGCCCTTGGCCGCTGGTTGGATTTGTTGTCGATAACAAAAAGGAGGGTACTGTTGAGGCCTCAAATGTAATAAATGACCCTAAATGTAATAAAGGTCCTAAATGTAATAACTTTTGGCCTTAAATGTATTAAAGGTCCTAAATGTAATAACTTTTGGTCCTAAATGTAATAAAGGTCCTAAGTGTAATTCTTTCAGCTGTTTTTATGCTTAGGGTCATAAGAAGATTTCATAGTGTTTGCTTTCAGCCTTATTACAGGTTAACTGAGCGCCAGAATGTGTCTAGGGAATATCAAACAGTAAATACCCCAGGAAGATCCCTATATAGCCATTTGAGTAACAACTTATTATTATTCATGTGGTGAAATCCTGGAAAAAAAGTTAGCATAAAAATTCACTTCAAGAAGTACTCCTGGTAGAAATTAAAATCAAAGTCAGGAAGTCACAAAACCTATCAAGATATACTACCCTTAATATCTTGCTGTTTATATATAACTTCGTGTTCGCAGCATTCTGTATGGACCGACCGACATACTCTTTTGGAAAATGATTAAAAAGAATAAATAAATAAATAAACCATTTCTTTTTTGGGCGGAACATTAAAAAACCCCATAGGCAAAAGTAGTTAATTTACTACGATTGTTTCTAATGAACATTAATACTTCCTTCAATTACTAAATTACTACTGTATTTTGAAAACTTTTGTGTAGATCCCATTTGTTTATAACTCGCATTTTACGATGTAGGGATGTAGTAGGAAACACGATCGAGTCGTAGTTAATTTATAAGTGTTTCTCCTACTTCTTGAGCGCTCTAGCCGCTTTCTAAGTTTATGAATATCTATGAAGACTACAATAGGGCGAAGAAAGTGAATCGCCAGCTGGCTATGAAATTAATATCGCATCAGACCGTCGGATGTTTCAGTCAGGGACTTTATCAACTTTGGGGCTGTTATACTACATACATGCAGTATACTGTTAAGACTTCCATCACATTTAGGGCTAAAACCTATTACACATATAATATTATTAGACCCTTTATTACATTTAGGGCCAAAAGTTATTATAATTAGGACCTTTATTACATTTAGGGCCAAAAGTTATTACACGTAGGACCCGTTATTACATTTAGGGCCAAAAGTTATTACACTTAGGACCTTTATTGCATTTAGGGTCATTTATTACATTTGAGGCCTCAACAGGTCCTGCGAAGCATTATGTTTGTGTTAACGAACGAAAAACTGTTAATTAAAAATTGTTAATTGAAGTGTAAACTCCGACTTTTCGGCACTACTGCCCTCATCAGGGAAAATTAGGTCAATCCGTTTCTAGGCTACTTGTGAGAACTTTGCATTGTCAAAACAGAGAAAAGTGCGCGCGCAAGTCACCCAAATCTTGGTTCAGGTCATCCGGCGGTAAAGTACCAAGTTGTGGGTAAAGCGCATCTCCACCAACATGGCCACTCTATCCATAATGCAACTCAGTTGGTGTTCCCGAAATTAGTCGCCAAGTTTACCATTAAGGAAGCGCAAGCCCATCTGTACGAGCTACGAGGTTAACAGCAGTACCATCAAGTCCTGTGAGGTAGAGCGTGACCTTGGCATCTCCTTGGACTGTGACTTGACTTGGCACGCCCAAGTCTCTCACCAAGCTGCACGCGCAAACAAGTTGTTAGGTTTCGTTAGGAGGAACTCTAGGTTTATTCACAGCACTTCCGTAAGGCGCACATTATACCTTGGTCTAGTTCGTGCTCGTCTTGGCTACGCAACCCAGGTCTGGGCGCCCCAAGGCATTGAACTAATTTCTAAACTCGAAAGTATCCAAAGACGTGCCACCAAATTTACTCTTTGCTTGCCTTTTTTAACAAATATCTCTTACAAAGAAAGACTAATGTCTGTAAACCTACTTCCTGTGTGCTACTGGCACGAGTTACTAGATCTAGGATACTTTTACAAGGCTACGCATAATATGATTCACTTAGATCTGTCTGTTGTTCCCTTCGTGCGCGAATGCGCGCGAAGGACCCGTATATCCGTAAGGAGCTCTCAATCTTTTGTGCCTAAAAATGCCGGACTTCTACCTTTCAGAAATCTTTTTTAATTAGAACCACTAGAACCTGCTTATTACTAGACGTGACCTAGATAATGTTACTTTTGAGAACTTTAAATCTGTTCTTTACGGTTATTACTCGCGGGCTCTAGCAATAAACTATGACCCGGACTCTCCAAGGAGCTTCAAAAGTATTTGCTTGAAATGTAACACAGCCAGGTTTTTAGACCAAGAAATTAGCTACTGCATGTGATTTAAATTGCTACTTATATATCCTTTTATTTTTTGGGTCCGCAGTAATTGGCTTTAGCTGTTGCGGTGTCCCTGCCCAAATATTTAAGTTATTATTAGTGTATTGTTACGTTCTTATTAGTAGTGTTTGCATATCTTCAGTGGGAATCTGGCGGTAAGTTGTCATCAACGAGCAGATATCTCAGGATTTTCGCGCGTCGGAATGCTTCAAGTGACGATTTGTAAAAGATGACTTTTGCGTTACAATCATTCAGAATGGAATAATTTCGGAGTAGGATATTGCAGATGTCAATGTTCTTGGGATGGTACGTGATGACCAGGGCATGTCGGTCAGCCGCGGTGCGATTATTACCTGGGGTGGTCACAAATCCGCTCTCTGTTTTGCTACCGCACGAGGTCGTGCTCTTCTTGTCAGGTCGTGAGGGTACCCACGTACCGGAAAAAGCCGCCAAATGTGGCCTCATTGTGGTGTACTCAGCCAGCATCTCTCTTCGACGTAGCCAAGGAGGGCAGGAGTATTTCAGCCCTATTCTTCTTCCCATTGCAACGCCACTTACTTGCTTGTAATGATCACACTTATGTATTAAGGGTCAGCGACAGTTGAGCTATGCGAACAAGGGTATTGGTGGGTAAATCTTTGAGTTTCCACACTGGAAATGACGGTATAATGTGATTTCATGTCCATGGTAGACACCAAGCAGTGGCCCCCATTGCTGCTTGCCGAAAGGAGTTCAGTATATTCAACAGTTTCGTTGTGTTTTTCACGCAACTTTCATGTCCGCGTATGAAAGGGGCTATTACCTTGTCCAGATACAATTATATCTAATTTTTCTGTAGGACACGCACAAGCAGAGACAATTGGCCGGTCAGGGTTGTCAGGTTTGTGTATTTTGGGCAACAAATAACACTTCGAAGTACGAGGAAATTCCACAAGAAGGTTAGTAGCTGATGGTGGAAGTTGTTTAGCCTACTTCGCAAACGACGAATCAAAAACGCAAAAAGATGGCACGTATCACATGATACTCAGTCTAACAGAATTCAATGAAAATGTTGAGTAGCATCGCTTATTGGGTCAGTAATTAAATAAGTGAAGCGCAATTGTTTCATGGCATCTATAGATCCTACTGTAATGGTTTATTGTACGGTGCTCCTGAGTATCAAATTAAGAAACTTCAGAGAGTCATGAATGCCAGTGCTCGATTGGTTTACTGCGCACCTAAGTACTGTCACGTTACTCCTTTGCTAAGAGAACTCCACTGGCTACCAGTGCGCTTGCGCGTAGATTTTAAGATTCTCCTTGTTACATTTAAGATTCTTCACGGTGTTGCGCCTAGCTATCTTAAGGATCTTGTCTCTGTCTTACCGGACTCACGTTACCAACTACGCCGTAACAATAATGGTATATTATTAGAAAGACCTCGGCTAAGAACGAAGAAGTCTTTGGGAGATCGCGCGTTATCGATGGCTGCCCCCTTTTTATGGAACAGTCTTCCTCTGCCAATAAGACAGGAAACATCAATCGACTCTTTTAAACACTCTGTTAAAACATATTTATTTAAAAAGGCTTTTAGTTAGATTATTTACTTATTTATTTATATATTTTTAAATATTGTAATTTTTACCGGGTAATTTTACTGGTTTTTAATTTAGTTATTAATAATATTGTAATGCGCTTTTGAGTATTTTTATAGAAAAAGCGCAATATAAGTATTAAATATTATTATTATTATTATTATTAGCCTGAGGATGTCAATTACTCCACCCCTATATCCCCACAACTTTGCAAATATCTACATTTTCAGTAGAGGGACAAACTCTTTCAGTATGCCTGATTTCCCAATGTTTTGGCTTGCTGTCCACGTTTGTTTACTAAATTGTTCAAGCCCGTATATGTCAGCATAAGGGGACATGGTTTAAGGTAGCCCATTACATAGATGACTGTAACTTACAAGAGGATATAAGACTGGAATGTTAGCAGAGTGTTAAAAAGACAGCTAGCTGTACTCCCTCAAGATTTTGGTCTCACTATCCCTCCTGACAAGTCAGTATTCATTCCCACCAAAGTACTGACTGTTTGGGGGTTCATCATTTATTCTTTATTCAAAGGATTGCGAGAGTGACTGCAGAAAAGGCCATCGCTTACAGGAGGTGTGCATATAAGTGCTTCGTATACAGCGTTCAACAATTAGGGATGTTGCCATTTTTTTGGCCATTTTATAAGCAGCGCCCCTGCAGTAAAATTAAGTATGTTTTTCTATGGAAATATTGAGAATGAAAACGCTGATGCTTTGAAAAAAATTCTGCCAATTTGGATGCACCGATGGAGCTGAAAGCGTGGACTAAACTTGATTTGCAGTGGTGGATTAATAATATTCTACAGTCAGGAATACAAAAAAGTATTTACTACAGATGCGTTAAAAAAAGGTTGCACCACAGGTTGCCATTGGTCCCCTATGGACGCTGAATTGCTTATAAATAACTTGAACATAGGGCAGTCCTCTTTGCACTGCAATCATTTTGTGGCAATGTTAGGAACAAGCAAATACGAGTTATGTCAGGCAACTCTAACACTGTTTTTTATATAAACAATATTGAGGTAGCAAGTCTAGGGCTTGTCAAAACATTATAAGGATGATTTGGAAGTTTACCTTGGAAAGAAATTCTGAGCTCAGGTCATCACCCTGGGCAGCAGGATGTATTGGCTGACCGTGAATCCAAAGCTTTCGATGATCGAACATGTTGCACCAAGAGGTTTTCGGGAAATTATCGCAGTTATGGGGACCTTTTGAGGTTGATCTGTTTGCTTCAAGATTAAACAAACAGCTAGCAGTTACACCAGACCGCCGCCTGGTTAGCTCAGTTGGGAGAGCGCCGGTCTGCCGAGTGGGAGGTCGCGGGTTCAAACCCCGGCCGGACCAACACTCAGGGTCTTTAAATAACTGAGAAGAAAGTGCAGCCTTTGTAATGACATCTGCAAATGGTTAGACTTTCTCGTCTTCTCGGATAAGGACGAAAAACCGTAGGTCCCGTCTCACAGCACTTTCACTGATTTGTTCTTGTGGGACGTAAAACAACCTACATCACTATTCGAAAAGAGTGGGGGTCGTAGACCCCGGTGGTGTGGCCAACCTTTACGGGTTGTGGGATTGGGTAAGGAATTGCACTTTGCATGGGACCTATGAGTCCCGTTCGTGCACATTCCCTCTCGGCAGGCCTGTGTCCAGAAAGCTGGTAAATAAATAAATATATAAATAAACCAGATCCTGGGGCAACTGCTGTGGACGGACGTTTAATTTTATGGGACAGTCAGTCCTTTTATGCTTTTCCACTCTTTGCAGTTGTTCACGGACGCTTGTGACAATTTTACGTTTTTGGCCAACACAGACTTATAACTCAAGGCTGATGTCCATGCTGATTCAACCATCAAAACTGTTACAGAAATAGGCGAACCTGCTGAGGCATCCACATATCCACACGAGCCACCCCCCTACGGAACAAAATGCAGCTGACGGCATGTTGTGTCCGGCAGCGCTTTTGGACAACAGGAGTTCCAGAAGTAACGATGTTACAGTCTTGGAAAAAATCTACTTTTAAAAAAAACAGCATGGAGGCCAATTTAAAAAGTGGACTACATTCTGCAGTGGAAGGAAAATGGATTCACGACATATCTGTAAACAATGTGCTGAGTTATCTTACTTTCTTTTTTGAGATGGGTTTAGGATACAGCTTAATTAACACAGCCTGCTCTTGTAGAACACGCCCGGTGGGAAACCATCCCCTCATCTGCCGATTTATGAAAGGAATTCGTGTTTCACGAACAACACAGTCATGGTACATTAGTGGTTGGAATGTTCAAGTGGAAAGACAATACTGAACTCTCACTTTGAGAACTCACTAAAAAATAAGCTAGATCTCAGCTGTAGACACAAGGAATGGATAGGATTAGATTTAAGTTTGCTGTGTTCAAACAAAGTGGGCATCCATTAAGTCTCTAATTATGGAGCTTTTCTCTTATCTTGAGAACCCTAAAATTTGTGTTGTCAAAACTCTGTCACATTATCTTGAGGAGGCGCCTGAACTTAGAGCATAGAAATCTGAGTTGTTGTTGTCTTACCTTAACCCTTATCGTGCTGTTAGCGCTGGTACTATTAGCCGTTGGATAATTTTAACTAACTGGAATTGACATATCCAAATTTGAAGCCCACAGCACTCGGGATGCTCCATCTTCATCAGCTATAAAAGCAGAAGAACCGAATATGGACATAATCAGCACTGGAGAATGGTCCTCCGCACTGGTATTTGCCAAACATTATAATGTTCGTAGTACTCAAGACGAGTACTTTTGCTGAGGCTATTTACAAGGCGTAGAGAGAAGCTATTTCAGTTGTAATATTTGAAATGTTTCCTCTTATTACGCTTATACTTTAGATGCAGGCAAGTTGTATTTAAAGGGGTTTGCCACATAGCATTTATTTTCTTACTCTGCATTTATCATTGCCTCAAAATAGGAAATAGAAAATTAAACAAGACTTATCTGGAAGTCGAAGTTTGATTGGCATTCTTCTACGTCATACTACGGATCAGGTATCCACCCAAGTGGTTACTACAGGCTAAATACTTTGAAGTCAGAAGTAGGCATGGGCATTGCAATCTCCCACCTGATCCCCCATTACCCTCAAGCCTAACAAGAAGTAAAAGAATCCCAATCAAACTTCTTCCTCCAGGTAGGTCTTGTTCAATTTTCTAATTCTACACCGTCATTTCTGTAGGGTCTCCGATTGAAGTCTAGCTGGTTTACTTGTCTACGACATTTCTTAATATAGTGGCCCAGGGCTGAGAATTTACATGGTTGAGGGGTCCACTCCCTTAAAGGATTAAAAAAAGTGGTTTACTTTTTTTCTTGGTCGTCCCGAGTTAAAATCGTCAGACTCGCTCGTAAAATGGCTAGCAGGTTCGCCTCCTCCCATATGAAATTCTTAACCTTGTTTTGATTCATTTGAATTATTAATGTTTTTTTTTTAATCCCTGAGAGAGTCCTCCAAGGGAAAGTGTTACAGTAACTGCTAATTAGGCATATCAAAACGTGCAGGGAAGAAGCCGTCTGGATCCTCCGATAACCCCACCACTTCAGATGATTAAATCATGTTACAACGCTGTACCTGGAAAGAATCTACAGTGCCTAGATTTCGCAAAAAACTACATGCAATTGTGCACGGACAGAAATACGTCAAAAAAACATCCCCAAAGAAATTTGAAACAGGCGTAGTTCTCTTTCAAGGAGGAGTCTGGTTAAAAGCACTGTTTTTCGTATATTTCCGCCCTTTTTCTTCAATATCTAGCCAAGTTTTCATTCAATCGAAAAAGGCTCAATTGGTTTGCAGTCCTCGGTTCAATAATTTTTGGAAGATTTTTCGAATGTCTTTAATGTATAAAAATTAGGTTGGGAAAATTGGAAAATATTGGATTTGGGGGTTGTTAAAAATTAAAATATGAAGTGAATAATTAGTGGACAAATACCAGATAGTCCACCACCACAGCAGAGTGCCTCTGAGCCCATTAGCGGACTAACTGGTTTACGTGTATACCTTTTCTTCCCTAATTTATTTGCTTCCCAAATCAACATCATTTCCCCCTCAAAATGCTCGCCTTAAAAACTTCCTGTAAAATACATGACAAAAAACTGATCAAAGTTAAAGCACCGGGTTTAGAACCTCGCTAAACAGCACATAAATATATATTTGTGCAGTGCTAAGACATCACTATAATAAAAAAAATGAAATGGGCCGCGTTTAGACCATACCGGACAGAGTAAGGGACCATAAAACAGTCAACTAAATTACCGATCACACCCATCAAAATGAGATCTTGAAACAGTGTAACGACATATTTCTTCGTCATTACTTCAAGTCTGTTTAAACCACTCACAAATGGTGTACTTGCGCATGGGCAAGGTAACTAATATTCACTTGTGATGAGGAACCTATTAAGGTAATTTACTTTTTGTCGAGGAAAATTTGTGTTTATTCAGTGCCAAGATATCATTGACAATAACATTAAAAAAATTGTTGGGTTTAGAACAAGCCAGACAGTACAAGAAAGGGATTCACAAGACATTACAAAAGCACTATAATAAGAAGAGGGCTTAGATCTTAATTAAACACTTCAAAAAGGAGTACAGAGTGTCTGTAAATAATTCCTTTCCCCTTACTCACTGAGTCTTCCCTCCCTTTCCCCAAGACTCTGTATGGGAGTACGCTGACGTCATAACCAAATTTTCTCCGCTCCGATTCTATAACAATGGAGGCTCCGCTGCGCGCGCGGACGCTTCGCTATAAAACTATGAACAATGAATTGATAATAAAAACGATAACTGGGAAAACTAAAAAAAAAGATTTTTAATGCAGCCTTGCCCTCGACTTTATTTTGAGGTGTTTTCTCTAATGACTCAGGGAGCAACGAGGTTCGGGAGGTTCCGAGTTCGATTCCAAGGTGTGACCTCAAGTCTTTGTTTTGACTTCTTTCATTTCCGTGTAGCTTTACGCAGCTTTAAATATCCGTAGAAAGGACCTAGGGTGGAGTGAGGAGGAGAACGCACCGTCCGCTTTTGGTTTGTCAGTTAAGGAACTGTTAAAAGTTGCCGACATAAGGACCTTTTTCTTTAACTTTTTTACTCCCGCTGCTCCTTGCGTTCAACAACTGGGATCTACCCTAGCTTAAGCAAATCTTGCTTGATTGCATAGCGCCCTAAAACAAAACGAGCAGCCGCTAGCTGTAGTATTTCAAATCTCATAAAAAGATAAACTGGTATAGGATCACTGACAAGGACATTGTAATTGATCTTTGACAAAATAAGACACTCTGAGCGTTTTCTGCCATTATAAGGGTCAAGGTGATTCAACTCCTTCAGTACAAAGTTCCGTAACAACTTGAGTTTACCTCTGTCATCCAGTTGAAGTTTTCGTGCACTTCCGTACCAAGATAGCAGAAGGTTGAAACTCGCAGAATCCCTTTTTATTTGTACAGAGATTGATGGAGTATCCGTCCAGTCCATACGTTCGTGTCATGTGGATAGTTGAAAGAACCATAACAGTACCTTAATCCTCTTGGGGGTGAGCCCCAGGTTACCTTGCGATGACCAGATGGACAGCTGTTTCAGCGAAACCTACGTTTCTGCTTGACAATGGTGAAGCTCAGATGATTTGCAGAGAGTGTAAATCGTAGCATCGTTCGCATATTGATCGGACCTAAATTCGGTTGGGAGTCCTTCAGTCAAGTCGTTTACATACAAGCTGAATAATACAGGACCCAAAATGGATTGCTGAGGTAGCCTAAAAGACACATTGATGCATTCCGACGAGCGCTCATCAGGTGCGGATTGCCTTTGATCACTTAAATAACTCACAACCCAAGGAGGACTTCAAAACCCTAACTAATGCATCTTGCAAAGAAATGTCTCATACGCAAGTGTATGAAATGCATTTGAAAAGCCTGCCATAATCGCAATGGTGACCTCACCTCTACTTATAGCCTTTAAGATGTAATGTCTTATTGCAAGCAAAGTAGGTGTGATGGAATGGCCTTTGCTGCATGCACTTACATCTGGCTGAAGCCAAGCAGTTTTCGTGTGGAAATTTACCATTTGCCGTACAGACACTCTTTAATACTTTTATACCTTTGAAAATGGAGACATTTGCCGGAGGTTCGACACCTACGGAATGGGACTGATGCATGTAATCTTCCAGAGATTTGGAAAGTCCAGCTTCAAAATGTACGCCGTGAGACGTACCACTCTTCAGAGGATAAGAAGCAAGCCCATTAATAAGCCTATGCCGCTCCTCCTTGCAAACTACCACAAAGGCAGTGACGCGTTCAGCTGTGAAAGCAAAGTGCTTGTGTCATTCACCCGGATCTACTTTACTGGCAGATGAATAGGGTTTAGTATGCAATGGAGCGTCTTACATACCTTCTTATGCCGCCTAGATAAGACTGCTTTTCTCAATAGCGATATTTTTCTTTTCCTAATAAGTTTTTTAGATTGTTGCTGCTGGCGTCTCTGAAAATGTTCTATGCAGGCTCACTTTGAGGGAGTGTTGTGTGACTTCCTCCGATACCACTTGCATGCCTCCCGCCGCGTTCGAAAGTTAGATCATTCGACAGGGCGCACGTGGTCTTGTCACCCTCACACTCTTTAAGGGTAAATTGCTACCTCTTAGCAAAGATAGCGCTCATTATCCCCCAAAGCACAGTCGGTTCTCTACCTCGAGTGAAAAGGGTGGAACACTACCTCCAGTTGGAGAAGATACAACTCCCTCTAATAGGAACAAGGCCCACTAACTCCAAGAGGAAAAGGTTGATCACCACCTACAATGAGAGAGGAGGCTCACTTCCTTAAACACAAAAGGCTGGAGAGGAGGAATCCCAACTACTTCAAACGAGGTTGAAGTACCTTTAACCTACAACCAGCAGGGATAGTAGCTGTTTGCCAACAGGTTTGGGTCCAACTGCCTACAATCAGGACCCCTACACGCGAATGTAGATGGACGGACGTCGGGGTAAAGGAGGCTCAAATATGCCATACTTTCAAATCAGAAAGTACATTAACGGAAAGGCAACAGTGCGTACGCATTCTTGGATAGTATACAGTACTCCCACACTTAGTTTGTGCGAAAACAAAGTACAATAGAAGTAACGAGAAGTTAGTAAAGGCTGGGGATTCTCAACGAGTAATCTGCGAAGTCGAGGTCGTTGATATGTTTTGCTGGAAAACTAGCAGTAGTGGATTGGGCTACCACCACTGAAAGTATTTTCTGATGCACCTAATGCTATACAATCACTAGAATGCAGCACTGCATAGTCTAGTAAAGTGTACTGCCAAATTAAAATGGTAATCAAATCACGCACCCAAATTCCTCACTTTGGGGAAATCACAATCCCCTACCCTAATGGTGTTAACTGCAGCCTTTTCCAAGAGATGTCGTGATGCTGTTACAATAAATTTGGTTTCATCGTCGTTAAGCATAATTCTGTCGGAGCACATCCAATGCTCGAAGTCCCTGAGAGTGGTTTCCATTGATCTAACTGCCTCATCTTCACTAGAAGAGCAGCTTACCTAAAGAGATACATAAAGGCAAAGCTGCAAACATCGAAAAAAGTTTGGAGTCTCCTGCCTGTTCCCGTGACGCTCAAAATAATTTTTCTTTAAAACCACATGCCGGTCACCTGGTCCTTCTATGTAGTTGCGAAATCTGGGTTATTTCTGAGAATACCATCTTAAAATTGAACGATTTCCCCACTTTCTGTCTTAAGAGTACTAGGAATAAATGGTAAGGACAAAGTGTAGCGACATAGCAAGGCCGATGCCCCTGACAAAAGTAGTTATCTAACACCAGATGAAATTAGAGGAGAATATCCTTCGTAAAGAGAAGGGGGAACCACACAATATAAAAGCCCTCTATGAGCCACCTCTCGATGAAAGGCTGCCTGGAAGGCGTTTCCTACATCAAATAAAGAAAAGGGTTTAAAAAAAGCTACGTCATGAGGGATGATGATGACGCCGCGTTCTGAACCTGTTTATAATATAACATTCCACATCCTCTGAACAATTACGTGTAGGAAGAGACCTTTCTCGTTTTAATTACTTTCATTGCAGATATTGGCAGATTTAAAAAGCTAGGCATTGTGAAAATCATAAAACAAAATATCGGAATTATAAAAGCTGGGTCCCGATTTATCACCTTAGGATTTGGAAAATAAGCAATTTCAGTAACCACAAGTTCTCTACATTTCTTTTCGAAGGATCCCTGTCAGTTATCACTCTGATGTCCTTGATTTCACACGTTTTTAAAAGGTCTTTCTCTAGCGACAATAAGAAACGTACGTTCGGAAAGCTAGACATGTTGTTTAGCTAACCTTCAAACACCCATTTATATTAACACAAAATTTGAATACAGGACGCCACAGGTAATTTCATTTAGTAAGATCAAAATTTGAGACAAACCAGACCAAACCAGCCTCAATGGGCTACAAGAAGGATGACCAATCTGATTTCTGTGCACTGAGGCTTCCTACACTTTTAAGCTTGTAAAATTCGATTCATGGATTGAGGTATTTTCTCGGCGATCGTGCCTCAGTCATTACAAAATTTCAGCCACGAATTCTCATGGCACACACTTTTCTGCCTGACCTTCCAGGCCTGGTAGAGAGATTCTAAAATTCCACAAATGGAGCAATAATCTCCCCAAATTAGCTGGATTTATACTAGAGACGAATAACGAACTTGAACAAGCGCTATTACCTTGATGTGGGTAAAAAGACTGATAGATTTTCTTGACAGACAAACGTGCTGAGGCAAAATTGGAAAAATACATCTGGATGGATGCGCGGATTTAGTTTATCCCTATTTCACAACCAAATTATATGAAAGAACTACTAGTGGGTACCATGGCGCGTCCTGCACAGTAATTTTTAAAGAGTTATAATAACTCCTCTCGTGGGGTTAGTTTAACACCTTACACTGGAGTTATTTTTTGGGGAGTTATTTTAACTCCGAAATGGAGTTTAAAGAACTCTTTTTTTAGGAGTAAAAATGACCCCAAATATTGAGGAGTTATCCTGTGCCAAAAATTTTTACTCCACTTTCAGAGTTAAATTAACTCCAAAAAGGGTAAAAACAATCCATGTAAGGAGTAAAAATAACCCCATTTTCGGAGTTATTTTAACTCCAGACTGGGAGTAAAAAGAACTCTTTTTCAGGAGTAAAAATGACCCCAAATCTGGAGTTAAATTAGGAGTTAAAGTAACCCCCAAAAAGGGGTTATTTTGTACTTAAAAATTTTACTCCATTTTTGGAGTTATAATAACTACCTAAAAGTTACGGTGTGTGTTTACATTAGACATTGACATGGGATGATTCGGCTGAATGGATGATTCGACTCTAGAAGAAATCGAGATTTATTGCCTATAGACTCCCTTGTTCGTGTGTTAATCCATCTCAGGGATAATCTGCTGGTACCGGTGTTTACAGGTGGTGGAGACACTAATTTGTTGTCTACAAGACAAGAAGAAGCGGCGTTTGATGATCGAAACAAGGACAATAACATGTAAATTTAAACCTATTCAATATTCTACCTAGCCTCAAAAACTGTTGTAGTCGGAGGGTTTTAATTGACAATAGTGGAATAACAAACTTTTTTTCTCAAATCCGTGAAAGACTACTGGAGATGTACTGCTCTCTATCACGTTTTCACGAGTGTTTGAGCGAAAATGTTTGAAATCATACCAGTGCCCAAAAGCAAATGCGCTCTGCAAAAAGGGCGGCACAAAATGACTGAATGCTCCGCCACACGTTCAAGCTTATTTCAACTTGTGACACACCAACTGACACCAATTCAAGATGTTTAGTATATGTCTAGGGGAGAAAATAACGGTTGAAAATATTGGGAAAAAATATCACTACTATAAATTTTTGAAGTTTTTCGATCGTTCGCCGAATTTGACAAATAACAAATTACAATGAAATTTGAGGCCCTGCATCACCACACGTGTGATTCTACGCTGATTTCGCAGCCACCCTTAAGCTACTTGGATAATCTTTGTAGCTCCATAGAAACACTGTATTAAATATAGTTGTTAAAAGAAGGTTTTCAACGTATTTGGCAATCAGTTCAATACAAAGAATTAAAGGGAGGTAGAGAAATTTTGACAGGGAGACACCAATTCCTACTTTAACTGAGACTACGCACTGTAGTTAAAGCCAAGCCTATAATTCATTTATTTTCTTCAATTTTGAAACGGCTTTCGAATCTTCACGTAAGAAAAAAAAATAAAGCTCATGGTATATTTTGGCTTAAGTTTTTCCTCTTTTAAAATGATTATTATTTTGATTTGTTTTTATAACATGCTACTTCAGTTTCATTCAGTAACAGTCGAGAATAAATCCTCTAGGAAGATCGAAGGCACCTCTGCTTCCAAGGTATTATGAGAGCTGTAAAAAAATTTTAGTGCCATCCAAGGATACTCAGCCATCACCGCTTTCGACTGAAGTTTTAGGTCGCATCATGTGTCTTTATATTTTAGAGCGTTTACTGAGTAAACCAAGCGCCACTGATGACTTCTTACGGACAGGTACTTAGTAGCTACCCGTATTACACATTTAGGTTTGGGTTACATATCAAACACGAGGAGCAATGTTTTATCTGATATTCAAAAACAGGGAGAAGTGGGTTGGAAAACGCAGGCCAGCAGAGTCCTTTACAAAGCCCTCTATTCCGACCTAGTGGCATACAGTTGTCGTTAGAATCACTCATTACGAGTGTTTGCTATAGCCCTCGTATGATAATAATTTCATGGTGATAAAGACCAACTTGGCCGCGATGATTTTCTTTTTTTTTTTTCTTTTTTTCAAGAACTCGAGTTGCAGAACTGAAGGTTGGAAGTCAAATCTTACAAGCTCACCCGAAATATAAGAAGCGTTTACGCATGATTAATTATAGCAAGAGTGGTCAAATACATTACACAATAAAATGAATACTTTGTTGTCCTTAGATTTTCTAAGGACATATTCTTTTAAGTAACTTTAAAACAAAACACTTAGAAGAAATATCTCCCATCTTTTCATATGTTCAATCTAATCTACTTAGTCTATTTGCTGTATCAATCTGCCAGCGATGCTGCTTTATTCATGAATTTAAATCTTGAAAATCAAAACACAGGAAGCTAACACAGAAAGGAAATCTCTTGAAAATAGAATTAAAATAGAACGATAGTAAAAAAGAGCCTTTGTTTTTCTCGTTTTCACTTGAGAGGAAAAGCATATTATAAATTTTTAAAGATGTCCACAAACACTGAAATACTTTTGTTATTGCAAGCAATCGAAATATTCCCCAATTCTAACAAATATATAGCATGTTTCAAAAGGATAACCTACTTGAAAATAAGTAAAAGTAAAGCCTTATTGTTATTAATGCATGAGCGAAATAACATTTCTTCTGAGCTTTTTGAAGCAACACCAGTTCGACAATAGAAATGTGCAAAATAAAAATTCCATGCACTTGTCCTTATGACACTCAATTGCATAACCACGAGGCCTATATAAGTTACTAGGATGTCAAAGAAAGAAAATGTTAATTACCTTTTACACTGCCCAATATCGCAATTGTCGATAAAAAATAACCTTAGCAACGCAATATAGTTCAACGAAGAATGAATTGAAGTTTAAGTATAATAATAATAATGATTTCAGAGGTGGGTGATGGTTGCCTCAGATTTAAATTCACTTTCATAGAAATGGTGATATATGATTGCATATACTGTATGAATCTAAAATATAACTAAATAACATAATCCTCAAAACTGAATCATTCAATTTATAACTACAATAAAACCTGGAGACGAATTAATAATGAAAATGCTACCACTAAAGTAGAGTAAAAGTTTCGTGTACCGGAAAAAACAAGAGAAAGGAAAGATTTTATAATAGAGACGAACAGAAAGGAACAAAAGGAATTGCTTCTAACCAAAGGAAAGAATAACGTTTAGAAGGATACGTTTAAAAAATTATAAATATGTTTTTCAATCACAACCAAATCTATTTACTTTGCCTTATACAACTATAACAATCAAGCAAGCTTTGTGACACAAAGAGTACATCGGAAATACATTGCGATATTTTGAAACAAGATCAGTTTTTAGGGAAAAGTGATGAAAGATAAATTAAGATCGTAAAAAATAAAGCGTTTTCTGAACAACATTTACCGAAAGAAACCTTAAGAACTGAAGTTTCTCTGGCTACAACAAGCAATCACAGCGCGTTTTCTACAGCAACTGGGTATGATTCAACCCATCTAACACTGCAAGTCGATTTACAACGTTGGTAAAACGTTTTCTATTTGTATCACGAATTTTCAGGTTGATTCATCACAAAATCAAGCAGAAAATATAAAAATGTTTAAATAGAATCTACAGCGTACGTACAAGAAGCTTGTACGCTCTTGTTGGTGACATGGGTTCTTGAAATTTCCATTTTTATGTAGACACCCTCTTTGTGTACTGAGAATATTGCGCTATGATACATTTCAGTTTTGGAGTTGACTGTACTAAAGTAGTTTGACATAAGTTCGTTATAAAATTAAACGGAAAATCAAGATAATTGAATGGAATCTATAGCGTACAAGACGCTTGTAAGCTTTGTTGGTGAAAGGGTTCTTGTTGGATTGACTTTTTTAATCGGTTTATTTAGATATCCTCTTTGGGTGCTGAGATTGCAATATGATTTCAAATTTACGTTGACTGTGCTAAAGTAGTTTGAGATAATTTCATTTATAGGATTAAGCGAACAAAATAAAGACAATCAAATACAATATATAGCGTACAAAAAGCTTGTAAGATTTGTTGGTGACAAGGGTTCTTGTTTCGATTTATCTTTTAATGTTTGTTTAGATACCCTGTTTGTGTACAGAGACTGCACTAAGATTTTCAATTTAACGTTGACTGTGCTAAATTAGTTTGGGTGAGATGGTTGGAGGAACAATTCAATTCTTGGTATTTCACAAACACTGCATTTACGATATTAACAATTTTCTCTCAGCTTTCTCCTGAAGAGTAAAGACGACGTTCAGAGGAAAATGAATTATTGTAAGACGGGTACCCTAATCCAAAATTAAATTCAAACGCTCTAATCCGTCGGGCTTGTTCCTCTAATAAAGTAATTAGAATGATCTGAGTCAACACCAGTTTTATACCTAATTTTGTACTGAGAATTAGGTTTCTCTTGTAAGTTTTCATAGTTAATTTACCATGAGATTAAAACATGATCTGAGAGCCGCTTTCTTTTAAGACGGATATTTTCCTCATTGTGCGTGGACATAGTTACACAATAAGAAGCAAGTGTAGTTTTAATGCACCTACAAGGTGGGCAGCGCCCTATTCACTCGTAAACACTAAGATCAAATATACCCTGAAAATATGACGCTAACTTTCATAAGAAATGGCACAAAATGTCTTCGTGACATAAGGAAGACGCCAAAGAGCTAAAAAGCAACTTGTATGCTGGTATAACTGGTACAATTCGTATCCTTTTCCCCCTTATGAATGGCCCTATTGTCAACATCAGACAAAGAACTTTTCTTAACAGTTACTTTTCTATGAATGGTACATTCAATATATCTTTTCCATTCGCTTTATCTGCAATTGATTGTCGCTATCTAATTCCAACTAACAAAGAAAGGTAGAGATTTTAGCAAGAAAACTGACTGAAGTGCACCTTTTCGAAGCAAGGAATCTTTTAATAATTTCTATTTTTGGCTAAAAGGCTTTAACTACAAAAACAACAAAGCCTTAGCTCCAGCAGGAGAAGAACAATAGAAATGCATTTGATCATAGTTCGTCAACAAAAAGCAACCCGTTAAAATACGTTTACTGGGGCAAAATGCAACATATCATGTCTAAAACCATCTCAAATTCAGTCGTTCATTAAACAAAATAAATCACTGTAACATACTTGGAAGTGTCTCGCTGACGTAAATGTACTTTTCAACACTCCTATATTAGATTTAAGCGATTTTCGGTTGCGTAACTCTGCATGTCAAGTAAAGTGGTTTTGGGGAAACTTTGTGTCGTCGATCTAAAACCATCTCAAATTCAGCCGTTCATAAACGAAAGAAATCACTATAAGATACTTCGGAGAGTCTCGCTGACTTAAATGTACTTTAGTTATCACTGCTAGATTAGATTTAAGCGAGTTTTGGTTTCGTGAATCTGCATGTCAAGTTAAGTGGATTTAGAGACTTTTATGTCGTCTTTAATGACAAAATCTTTACCTAACAAAGGGTCGAGCAAAACCTTTTTTCTAAGCTTATGTAAGTGAGACCAATGCCGGTGGATTACACTGACCTAGATGGGTTCTACAACTGAAATGAACTTGAATCTTTCCTGCAATTTCATAGCTCGGCTTGACAGAAAAAACTGATGTTAAAAAAGTACCTTCAAGGTAATTCTACAAGTCCTGAAGATTCTTTAAGTCAGCTCTGGATTCTTTAAAACACTGGAATCCTCTAAAAGCGACGCAATGCATGAACATTCAATTCCACAACTTAACATAGTACGTATATATCAAACAGGTACCTTTCAACCGTGCAAACCCGCCACGTTTTAGACAACTAATCTATCTTAACGCTAACTAAGTGTCGGTACAAGACACATTTTCCATAAAAACAACTGTAAGAGCTCAGTAGGCTATGGATTAAGACTACACAGTCAGAGTTTCGCTTTTTTACAAGTAGAATAAATGCTATAAACTGAAAACCATGGCAGTTTCTTTGTTCATTTAATCTCTCGCAAAGACAACACTCCAAGGTCTGAAATACACGCACTACAATCGACTCTGGGTCTATGGTCTTTCAAAAAACGAACACAGCTTGCCCGTGAGGTACTCGAGAGGGAATAGGCCGAGGCAATTAACCTGGGCGGCATAATGAAAAACAGCAGCAAAAAAGATGTTTATATTTTGTCCTCGCTGTTGGCAAAAGCATGCGACACGCTACCAGCAAGAGATCATAACACATTGAAAGCAGCAAACAAAACGAGTCTTAATTTTGCACTAATAGCGTGAGGGAGGAGCTATTGAACGGACCCCTAAGATGCTTGTAATAACACTTTATTGAGAATCCTTTTAGTTTACAGTACTAAAGATTACTTTCCTTGAACTCACGCTAATAAAGTGGATGAGATGAATTCATTGTGCGGCCCACGTTTGACATAAAAACATCACGCCAAGCCAGTGTCATCTTTTCAGGTGGAAACTTTCTTGGATATTAAATCACTCTGTCATGGAAAATAAACACAAACTACTCAACATTCGGTAAAGGAAAACATTGATAATAAAACAACAACATTTCAGACGGAAAGTGGATGAAACTGAATAGCATTAAATGTTAAATAAACGGTCGGACCAATGGTGTGATGTGAGGTTACTACACTACCTGTTCTGATTCTATTCATGCAATTTACCTACTTCGCGAGCGCAACGCTTAATGTCTCTTCGTAACCGCAGAAAGTCATAAAAGCTAAATTGGCCTATAAATAGTTCAACAGTTTTGAAAAATACAACAGGAAAGCGGGCTCAATTAAAGTATTTGTTCACATTATTATTATTATCAGCTAGTCTCCACGACTTCCTGCTAGGAAGTTTTAAGAGCATTCTCTGGAGGAAAAAAAAAAGCTAATGGAATTTTTTTTTTGTAATAAACCCGCTCAATCCTGCAGTAATTTTTTTTCTCAATAATTGCAAGATTAACTTCAAAATGTAGTGGTTTAAACCTGTGACTTGATTTCAAACGTGACATTGGATCCAGTTATATAATCGCTGATGAAGACCCTAGCTATAAGTATGGCGCAGTTTTTTAAATAGACAACGCAAAAACTTAAAGGCGGGCTTTCAGAGTTTGAACTAGGCATCGGGCTAAAATACTGAGTTTGGTTGGAAGACAGACTGAACCAAAAAGAAAGCCTTTTACACCGATCACCGGGAGCGATAAGCAGTACGAAACCAGGCTTTCTTATGATCAATGTCACCGTAGAGCACCTGCTAAAGACTTATTGCCCTGAAATTAAATACGGGCTAACAAAGGACTTCGGAAGGACCCTGAAAGACTTTTTACTAAAATATACTTAGCAGAAATACTGTTAAAGGGACAGGCAATCTTGTTATCTTAAACTATAAAAGATATGAAAAAGACACCGCAAATTGTCATATCTTTAAGCCTCCTTTATTATCACCTTTATTGACATTCAACTTGATTTTGTCGACCTATAGGTATTGCTTGACTTAAACAAATTTTCTTCTGAACCGAGCACCTGCTCTGTCGCTGCGAGTCTGATACGGCATTTATTGACCGATCACTTTTTTCACAAGCTATAATACTGAAAATATTAACGAGAAAATAATGTATATGCTTTCCGTTTGGCTAAAATTATTAGACATGATTTTAGTGTTCCAGGGAGACCGACAGAGATGAGTTTTATTTGGGAGTTGTCCAATGTTAATTAGTCTAATACCAGTCAGACTACAATTTAACACACACGAAAAAACAAAGTGAATGGAACGCGCGTTAGATTTTATTTTAACTTAGCCTTTGATAAAAAGGTAAATAAAGAATACAAAGTTGGTTTTAAGAAATTGTAAAAGCTCACTTATGAATAAATCTTTATAAGATTTTCTTTCAAAAGAAAGCTACAAAAACCAAGAAATATATTACAATAAACGTTAAACACGTCTTTAACAATACGTTGCGCGTTTATAGGTATTAGT